CCCCCATTCTACTTAGTTTTGGTTTCACTCCCAGTGGTTTCTCCCCATGTGGGGCCATGCCAGCCAGGTCAGTTTTGAGAATTTTAAGTCCTAGATCTTCCAGCTCCTTTAGGCTTTAACATAAAGTAGGAAAAACCCTCCCTGTGCTATTTTTAAATTGGCCTGCACTGCCTCCTGGGGAGTACCTGTTAACTCTGTGGGATTTGCCTGTCCCCAGAACTGTTGGATGCTCTACTGTTTCTCTCTGCTTTCTCCCACACAGACCCTGAATCCAGGTGGCCCTTGTGGTCATTGATGGTGTGTCCCCACCTGTTTGTGTTCAGAGGTTCATAGGACTGCCTTGTCACCTTGTTTCTTTGTGTCATCCATGGGCTTTGGGTTATGTTTCTAGTTACTCTGTCTGCAACTAGATTCTAAGACTAGGCTGCTGCCTTCTTCCCAGAGTCTTCCATTCTCTCTCGAACCCCTGCAGTCAGGATGTTTCCCTCCCCCTCCCCCACCCCCAGCCCCAAACTGCTCTTGTAAAAGTCAGTGACACCCCCACTTTGCTAGATCTCAGGCCTCATCTCTCTGGTAGCACCTGGCACAGTTGATCTCTCCCTCCTTCCTGAAACACTTTTGTCATCTGACATCCAGGGACACCCCACCCCCGGGTTTTCTATGTCACTGGTATTATTAGCTCTATTGAATGGATGAAGATGTGGGGATTTAGAGGACTAGTTAACTTGTCCAAGGCTACTCAGTTAACTAGTAGCATAGGCAGGACCAATTGTAAAATATTTCCAAGCCTCTCTTATGTGCCTGCCACGTGCTGGGCACCTGAGCAGTGACGTCTCCCTCTGGAGGGGTTTGCATGTGACTGGGCAGGAAAAGGGAACGCTGGGGAGTGGTAATGAGTCTGTCAGTGATAACGAGTGACTGGAGTGGAGGTCCATCGAGGTGGGCCCGGAACACTAGGGAAAGTGTGAGAAAGAGGAGGAGGAGGATTTGCACTCGACCTGGAAGGATGGCAGGATTGAACCTGAGATGGGAAGGAGACGTAGCCAGGCAGGTGCAGGGTGAGGTCAGGTTTGGAGGATACAAACCAGGCCCCCCAGAGGCTTGTGAACTTCCCAGGTCTGATGCCGGTGGCCCCTTCTCACCACCTTCCCACTCCCTGGTAGCTCCCACAGGCCTCATTTCCAAGTCAGCAGAGTCATCGTAAGCCTTGTGGCCTCTTTGTCCCTTCTTTTTCGTGAAGTCCTCTAAACCCCAGGGAGCATCGAGTCCATTGTCCTCACCGATGCTCTGACTTTCTTGTTTTCCTGACCTTTCTCCACTCACAGCTGAAAACCTCAGGCCTAAAGTCAGCAGCCTCTGCACCCAGGCCACTGGGTATGTTGGGGACACAGTGTATTTAGCTCCCTTTAACGTCCCTTGACCACAGTGGGTTGGGTGCTCGTCTCCCCACTCCCATGGCAGCCTGTTCAGGCCACAGTGGGCTGCTCCAGCCTCTGCAGGCCTGCCAGGTCCCGTCTTTCCCAGTCGCCAATGGACTCAGGGACTCTCCTGTGTAGGCTGAATCCCTCGTGCTTGCAGGGCGCCTGGCCCTCAGCACCTTTCAGTAAATGCTTATAACCAACAGATAAGTGATTTGAGCACCCCCAGGGATCTCGATCTGAGAAGTACCCTGAGCACAGTGATTTCAAAGCTGACCACAGCAGGGTATTAGGACAGATGGGGGCAAGGAGCTGCTCCAGGAGGTGGGGTGTAAGCAAAACTCAGCAGTGCCATTTCCCACAGTGGCAGAGGTGATGGCACTTGACCGAGGGGCACGTGCTCCTGCTGCTATCTTAGGACATTTCTGCTTTCCCCTGTGCCTGCCCTTTTCTAATTGCTAGCTCGCTGCACCTGCCTCACCATTCATGGGAAAAGATGTGAGAACAGTTCATTATGATGATGATGATGATGCTGATGATGATGATGATGATGATGACCATCTTAGTAAGCCACCAGGAACATCAGGATAAAGGCCATGTCGGGTTGACTTGTACATTCCCACTCTGGGAAATTTGACAATCCTGGACTAGCAAGTGGCCAGTTGGCAACTACTGAGATGAGGCAACACACAGAAAAGTCTCAAAGCCAGCAGAGACCAGGCGACATTCAGGGCCTGCGTGGCCCCTGGGAGTGGCCTTCTCCTGGGGGGTGCGGGGTCTGCACAGGGAGACACCGCGTGGCCACCGCCTCCCCGAGCAAGTGCCATTCCAAGGAGCCTGTTGGCGCTGTCACCGCTGCATGTCTTCTCTTGGCAGGGGGCTGGACACTTCTTGAGCACGCTCCTGCCACTCAATTGAGTGCACCAGAGGCTGCACCAGCCATTTATTTGAATGAACACGGAGACACAAATGTGATCATGCAGGGGAATGGGATGCAAATCCAAAGATCAAGAACGTGCTTTCTCTTTCATTTTCCTGCTATTTCACTCTTTTCTCATTTTCTTTGTCCCCTCACCTCGAGAAAAGTCACCCCAGACTTCCTGCCATTCCTCAGGTCTTGAACGTTTCTTGCCCAAGCAGATTAAACTGGATGAGTAAGAAGCTTGTCTGAGTTGTCATTTATCAACCAGAAACAAGCCCAGGAATTGGGTCCTTTTGACAACCCAACCCCCTCTCCCCCATCCACTGGGTCTTTAATGGCCAGTTCCCCATGGGGACTGCCTGCTGGCCAGGCTCAGGAACCATCGCAGGAAACCCACTGAGATCACAGCTGTCCTAAACACACTCACAATTCCATTTCCTGAGTCATAATTGAGGTTTCCCCCTCCTTTTGGTAAGTCTAAGATACAGCACTTAAAAGTTCCACGGTAAATTCTAGATCACTTGAGATTTCATGTGTTGGCCAAGCTCTCTGTTGACACAAAACTCAATCAGCCACAGGCCATGGAACAACCCCTACTCCCTTAAAGTGCCACCAGGTTGGCAGCTCACACAACAGCAGCCCTATTTTCTAGCTGGAAAGGTAGCACCGTATACAGACATTGGTGGCAGGAAAATGACAGAGAGTCCCCAGATAATTGGGTGAGTGTGTTAAGATCATGTATGTGTTGCTTTGTTGCCATAACTTGTTCAATGGGTATGAGCTGTCCTGGGCACTGGGGACATGCATGCACAGATGCCAGGCCAGGAGGGGCAGGACCAGGAACCTGAAGACCCAGGTTCTAGTTGTAACCTGCTACTGCTACTGCTATGACTTTGGGGGGGGGGGTCCCTTCATCTTTCTGAGCTTCCGTTTCCTCAATTGGTGTAACAGCCACAGATCAGGTGAAATATGTATGTGAATGGGAACGGCTTATATGGGAACTCTAAAACCCTGTATGTAAGTCAGATTTTGAGGAAGTAAACAAGTTTTACATGCAAGAGTGAACAAAACTCAACATTTTAATTCTAACCGTATGGCTTGTTCGTATCTTTGTTTTCCTCTTCCTACATCAAATGTATTTTGTTTTCTTTTTTATATCAGCCTCTCGGACAAAAGAAAAGCATAGGCAATTTTCCCTTGCCAGGTTCATGCCTTTCTGGCATGCTAACTGCTTCTGATCAAGGCAGCAGCCTCGTGACACAAGCCAGTGACAACTGGCATCACAGACAGAAGGTGCTTTCACGTCCACTGGCAACACACGTGCAGAATGCTGCCATGTCTGCCTCATGTGGATACAGTCATATTTGCTTAAAAGTCCCTCCACGTACATTGTCTCACCATATTCCACTTACTCCTCAAAATCAAACTGTGAGATTAGTTACTACTGGCTCCATTGTAGAGTTGCTTGAGGTACAGCATAGTCGGTGTTGTTGACTTGGCCAAGGTCACGCCAGAAGTGGTGGAACTGAGAATCAAAACCATTGCAGACACAAAATTCGGAAAAATATGTAATACTCTATTATACGTGTTATTACAATACATTTTATTATGAATTAGTATATTTTAATATATATTAATTAACATGCATGTGCACACACATGCACATATATATACACACTCGTATATAATTTCCCCCTCACATAACTAGCAATGCTTTAGAGCAGGAGTTGGCAGCTACAGTCTTCATAGGACAAATCTGGCCTGCTGTTTGTTTTTGTAAATAAAGTTTTCTGGAAACAGCCACGCTTATTCATTGATGTATTAAACACAGTGGCTTTCGTGCTAACAACCACAGAGGTGGGCAGTTGGGACAGAGATCAGATAGCCCACAAATACGAAAATATTTACTCTCTGCCTTTTTAACAGGAAAAGTCAGCTGAACCCTGCCCTAAAGCTATTTAGCCACAATCTTCTAGTTATCAAAAAAAAGCAGCCAGGTCCTCAGCTCTCCATGCCTACGGAGAAGACCTCTCCTGTGTGTCTGATGTGTCCTGGACCCCCCTGTCCAGACACTCCCAGAGCTGTAATTGTGTGTTTAGTTGTCCGCTTTGCTCCAGACTGTGAGTCCTTGAGGCAGGCCCCGTGCCTTATTCCTGTCTGCACCCAGCCCAGCCCAGTAGATGCTTCTGGAGTAAAGGGTCAGGGGATTCAGAGTCCAGCGTGAGGCACATCGGTGGTTGCTAGAGGCTGGGAGGAAGGGGGACACAGGGAATGGCTGCTTAATGGGTATGGGGTTTCCTTCTGGGGTAAGGAAAATGTTTCGGGACTAGGCAGGGGTAGGTGGTGGTTTGCACAGCATTGGGAATGCACTACGTACCATTGAATTGTTCACTTTAAAATGGTTCATTTTCTGTCATGTCAATTTCGCCTCAATTTTTAAAATTGAAACAACAGAACTGCCTAGGAGAGAAAAGAAAATGTAAATATAATCTTCTTGACCATTAAATCCAGGAAATAATCCTGATGTTTTAAATTTTGAACAATTAATAAAACAAAACCCAGTGACAGCAGGCAGCCCCTGCAGTGGGGACTTCTGCAGCCCCACTGGGAACACCAATGGCCACATGGCTGACGTTGTCCTTTCACGTGTCTCTCTATAGAGGTGGAAAAGACCCGGTGCCAGCAGGAGAGAGAACACATTCTCGGAGCTGCAGATGCGGTGGACCTGCAGCGGCCCAGGCCACCAGGGCTATTTGTCCCTGAGTGTGACGAGCATGGGAACTATGTGCCCACCCAGTGCCACGGCAGCACCGGCTACTGCTGGTGTGTGGATCGCGATGGCCGTGAGCTGGAGGGCACCAGGACCAGGCCTGGGATGAGGCCCCCGTGTAAGTGAGGGAGGGTTGCTTGGGCTTGTGCCTGAGAATGGCCTCAGCACCAAACCAGCCGGTGAGCTTTGCTAAAGATGCAGCTGGCGCTTTCTGTCTGCCCCAAATCTTAATCTGCTCTGGGGCTCCTACCCCACCCCTCCCCTCTGCATTTCTCCCCTACTAATCCTCTGTCCACTCTCCCCGCTGTTCTCTTGCCCTGTCTCTTGCTTGGGGCTGCTGCACTGGTCTGTGATGGTGGCAGAAAAGGACATGTGTGTTGTGGGTCCCCCAAGGTGAACACTCTGCAGACAGAGGCAGGGATGGTGGAGACCAGATATTTTCCCAAAACTGCGAAGAAAGAGTCTCACAAACTTCATGAATTCAGCCCAGCCAGCATTCACTGAGTGTCGGTGCTGGGGATACCCAGAGGAAGGTCACGGTGCCCCCAGAACCTCAAGGGACAGGAGATAGAACAGTTTAGGCAGATGAGCTTTAGAAGAGAGTGGATGAGGACTTGTGTGGGATGGTGGGTGGATTGGGGAAGGCCTTCTAGAAGCAACACCAGGTGAACACGTTTCTAAGCAGGACCAGAAGCGGGCAGTGTGGGGAGGAGGGGGATAAGGCTGGTGCTCTCTTGGCTGAAGGGCAGGAAAGTCTCAGCTGCAAGGTCAGTGTCAGTGTTGCTGTTGTCCCTGCTGCTGCTGTTGCTGCTGTTGCTGTTGCTGTTGCTGCTGCTGCTGCTGCTGCTGCTGTGACTGTTGT